GGGGGGGAAAATACCTACCATGTTAGAATTCTATACACAGCAAAGCAGATATTTTTCAAGAATGAAAGTAAAATAAAAACATGTAGAACTAACAAAAACTGAGATAACACATCACCAGCAGGCTCAATTAAATAAAATACTTGAAGAACATATTTTAGCAGAATGAAAATATTCCTACACAGAAGACCAAAGAATTAGGAAGGGGGAAGGGGGGGAGGAAAGCAACAAAAATGTCAAATATATGGAAGTCTCCAGCTTCAAAAAATATTTGCTTTTAAAAAATATTAATGTCTTGTCAGGTTTAAAATACATAATTAAAATATACAACTGTAGCACCTAAATAAATAGGGAGATGAATGGATTTAAAGGACGCTAGAGGCCTGGCCAGGTGGCTCAATTGGTTGGAGCACGGTCCAGTATAACAAAAGAGATTGCATGTTCGATTCCTGATCAAGGCACATACCTAGCTCAGGAAGAAACTCAGCAAGAAGAGCATATGATGACAACTGTAAAATCATATTGAAGGGTAAATTTAAAACTCTGAGCAGCCCTAGCTATAATAGTTTGGCTCAGTGGATAGAGCATCCGCCTGTGGACTGAAGGGTCCCAGGTTTGATTCCTGATCCCAATCAAGAGCACATGTCTGGGTTGCAGGCTGGATCCCCAGTAGGGGGCGTTCAGGAGGCAGCCAATCAATGATTCTCTCTCATCATTGTTTCTACCTCTCTTTCTCCCTCTCTTTCCTCGCTGAAATCAATAAAAATATATTTTTAAAAGTAAATAAATAAAAATTTGAGCAAATGAAAAGACATCCATCTTCTTAGATTGTATAATTGAATCTCAAGCTTCTTAATATCATAAAAATTTAGAATTAAAAATCAAGTTAAATTTGAGTTCCTAAAAGAGAAAAGGAACATTGGGTAAATGCTGAGAAAATATGAATGAACTATATATAGATAGTAGTTAATACTAATGCATCAATATGGATTCACTGTAACATACATCATACTAATGTAAAATGTTAACAGGGAAAACTGGGTAGAGAATAAATGGAAACTGTTCTATCTTCACAATTTTTCTGTAAATCTAAACTTCTAAAAATAAAGTTTATTTTCAAAAGCATATTTATAAGGCAATAAGGTAAGTTTTCAATAACACAAATGTAATTCCAATTAAATGGATAAAAATATCTTAAAGTTCAGAAAGAAAATACCCAGTAAAACAAATAAATGAATGAAAAAGAAAGAAGACATACTAGAAAGCCACTTTAATTAAATCAATATGGAACATTACTCTAGGCATAAAATCAGTAGAACAGAGAATCCAGAAATAAAACCCAGTTGATATGAGATTTTAATATATATGACAAAAATGTATTCCAATTCAATGGGAAAGAGTGATTATTTAATAAAACAGTGCTGGCACAACTGGCTATCCATCTGGTAGAATATAGTCAGTCCCCAATCTCATAAAATAAAAACAAATTCCAGATGGAGTAAATAAGCAATGTAATAAATAAAGCATCAAAAAGTTAGAAGGAAACCTAGGAAACAACTTTTACAGTCTGTTTATTAACCAGAAAGAAAAGAGAGCCATATTTGAGTTTATAAAAGTTAAAAATGCAAATAATAGTAAAAAGTCATATATTACTCTATCCCCAATCAGATAAAAGAAAAATTGCTGACAGGATAAAGAGAAAAATAATGTAATTTGTTTAGAACTATTTTGAAAGCAGTCTGAGAAATATTTTTAAATGAATACTACACAGACACTTCAACCAACAAATCATATTCCTGGGAATCTATCCCATAAAAATAAAATCACCAATAAAATGTTTATTATAGTATTGCTCTTATGGCCAAAACAAAAACAAAAACACACAAGGAAACAAGATGAGTTCCCAACAATAAGGTAATAAATAATGGTACATTTATACTGTAGAATAATAAGCAGCTATTAAAAAGAATACTTTAGAGCTATACCATTTAACTTGGATAAATTTTTCTGGGTGTATTTTTTATTTATTTTTTTAAATATATTTTATTGATTTTTTACAGAGAGGAAGGGAGAGGGAAAGTTAGAAACATTGATGAGAGAGAAACATCGATCAGCTGCCTCTTGAACACCCCCCACTGGGGATGTGCCCGCAACCAAGGCACATGCCCTTGACTGAAATCGAACCCGGGACCCCTCAGTCTGCAGGCTGACACTCTATCCACTGAGCCAAACTGGTTTCGGCTCTGGGTGTATTTTTTTAATGATAAAAGTAAGATACAGAGAAATGCATATACAATAATCCCATTTTTAAAAAACAAACACTGATCACAACCCAAAAGTATGTGCCGCCCAATGTGTGTGTGTGTATGTGTGTGTGTGTGTGTGTGTGTGTGTGTGACACGTGCACATGAAAGGTGAGCACGGAGCAAATACAGAAGGAAATACACCAAGTTGCTAGCACAGATTACTGGTAGTGTGAGGGGGGGAGGGGGCAGGGATGTGCAAGGAAGAAAAAATGAGCAGAATGTGTAATACAATTGCACTGATATTAATCAGAAACTTGCTACAACATGGATTAGGACATAACATAATTGGCATGAGTGTCCCTCCTTCACAGAGTCCCCATCCTCAATCTCCCTCCTAGTCATTTGACATTTCCTGTGCAGTGAACTATTAGTCCTCTACAATATTAAATCCTATAAGTGTTACAATCTTTTGTGCATGTTGTGACAATCCTTCCCAAAAATATTGTTTTCCATTAACATTTAATAATATTGAATCTTTGTACCCCACTTTTCAAGTTAGAATGCAGTTTTACACACAAGCACAAGTAAGTACCTATAAATAAAGAAATTAGAAAAATAAAGAATTGGTATTTATACATTTACTGATGACTGTCCATCAAACAACAAAACTAATTACAGAAAAATATGCATTAAGTATTCTATTTCAGCAAAAGTAAGCAAAACCCTAATTATAAATGTATGCTTAAATACTTTTTTTGTGCTTAATCCTCACCTGAGGATATTTTTTCCATTGATTTTTAGAGAGAATGGAAGGGAGGAAGGGTGTGGGGGAGAGAGAGAAACAATTATCAATGTGAGAGAGAAACATCGACTGGCTGCCTCACAAGCCCTGATTGGGTCTGGGTATCAAACCTGTAACCCAGGTACATGCCCTTGTCCAGGAATTGAACCCGAGACCCTTTGGTGCATGGGGTAACACTCTGACCACTGAGCAACACTGGCCAAGCTTAAATATTTTTATTTTTTTTATTTTATTTTTTTTAATATATTTTATTGATTTTTCACAGAGAGGAAGGGAGAGGGATAGAGAGTTAGAAACATCTACAAGAGAGAATCATCGATCAGCTGCCTCCTGCACACCACCTACTGGAGATGTGCCCACAACCAAGGTACATGCCCTTGCCCGGAATCGAACCCGGGACCTTTCAGCCCACAGGCCGACGCTCTATCCACTGAGCCAAAATGGTCCCGGCCTTAAATACTTTTAAATGAAAATGAAAGCTTTGGAAAGTTGGCACAGGTTACCCAAAGGGAAGGAAGCAGAGGGGAAGGGAGCAGATTACCAGCTTTGTTTTTATACTCTCTGTATCTTACTATTTCACCTATTACAATAAACAAAAAAGCATTGCTTTTTAAATCTGAAAATATTAAGCAGTGCAAACAAAGATAAATTGCAAACAATGAAAGAAAATAAGTTGGGTATTAATTAGCACCTCCCTCATAAGATCCTTGTAAAATTACAAAAGATAATCTATGTAAAGTGTTTAGCATACTGCCTAACATATTGCATATGCTCAATAAATGTTAGCTATTTATTTTATTTAGTTTTTTAAAAATATATCTTATTGATTTTTTACAGAGAGGAAGGGAGAGAGATAGAGAGCTAGAAACGTCAATGAGAAACATCAACCAGCTGCCTCTTACACACCCCCTACTGGGGATGTGCCCACAACCAATGTACATGCCCTTGACCGGAAACGAACCTGGGACCTTTCAGTCCGCAGACTGACACTCTACCACTGAGCCAAACCGGTTTTGGCTATTTTATTTAGTTTTTTACAAAGACTGCATTCAGCAGAATTTATAAACCTGGGGGGGGGGGGAAGGCCTTTGAAAATGACAGGACACTTTTTCCTATATTTCTGAATTTGGTCTCCTTTGGTGGGCAAGGACTCATGTTATGGTAACCATAGAGCACATTAAACATACTTTCACTGGTAGTAAAAATAAAATTACAATTAGATTTTTTTTTTTCGAATTTTTATGCGTTTATTTCAGCCAAACTGATGACTTGTTGGGAGCAAGATCTCAAAAGCTCCACAATTAGATTTTTAAAAAGATATTTAAACAATAAAAAGAAGATGATAATCTTTTTGCCTTGAAGGCTACTTTTAAGAACTTCAGCCTGGCTGGTGTGCTCAGTGGTTGAATGTTGACCTATGAACCAGGAGGTCATAGTTCAATTTCCAATCGGGGCACATGCCTGGATAGTGGGTTTGATCCCCAGCAGGGGGCATGCAGGAGACAGCTGATCAGTGATCCTCTTTCATCGTTGATGTTTCTATCTCTCTCTCCCTCTCTCTCCCTCTCTGAAATCAATAAAATATATTGGGAAGGGGGAAAGAACTTCAAGCATCTTAAGGGATATGCTTCTATCACAACCACTTCAGATGAGAGATATGTGGATCCTGGATATTTCTCACATGTCACAGGAGAATTAAAACACAATTCATAGAGACTGGAGAGTGGTGCCAATGATCTTTTTGAGAGCCTGTTCACATGGGAAATCCAATCCTAAATGCAGAATTCCATTCCCTATTCTGGGAATTTCTCTGTTGGTCTGCCTAAAAGAGCATGTCAGTTTAGTTATAATCTGCAAACCGAATTTGGTACATCGATGCTGTATTCCTACTATCCAAGGAAACATTAAAATAGGTTCATAAAGTGCATGAGCGTGGTATGTGTCTTGCCACTTACATGGAGTTGACTTTCTCCTCAGGGCCTTGCACCTGACCTGTCACAGTGCCTTTGTTGGTATTCTTCACCCAGCCAACCACTCCTATCTTCTTAGCCTCGCCTTCTGTGTACTGGTTCCAGGAGAAAACGAGGGAAAGAAAGTCCATCATCAAAAGTCAGAATTCATAGCACTTGATTCTAACGTTCAACACGCACTAAGCTGATAACTTTTTCCTAAAATTGCACAAATGAACAACAGTAATTAATACGTCTATTTATAAGAAACTTCACTTAAGTGGAATTTCTGTTAAATTCCACTTTCAGTAAAGACAGGCATGCTGTGAGAAAATAACTAGTCCTGGGAATTACTTCAAAACACAGTTTTTATGATGTGTTTGGGGATTCATAAAATTCAGTTGCATTCCTTTGCAGCAGCTAACACAAAATTACATTGGTAATCTGGGTTTCAAATGATGATTTAGGTATAAGCAATAGAAAAGTACTGGATTAAAATATTGTGTTGTTTTCTGAATTATAACAAGTGTTATAATTCTCTATGTAAATTTATTTTTCCTATTATTTTTTTTAAATATATTTGTATTGATTTTAGAAAGGGAGAGGCAGATATAGAAACATCAATGATGAGAGAGAATTATTGACCAGCTGCCTCCTGCACGCCCCCTTCTGGGGATCAAACTCAAAAATTGGGCCTGTGCCCTTGACCAGAATTGAACCCAGGACCCTTCAGTCCACAGACTGATGTTCTATCGCTGAGCCAAACCAGCTAGGGCTTCCTATTATTCTTAATAGGTTGTGTGTTTTTTAAGTTCTTTTCTTAGTTCCAAATTCACTTATGCTACTGGCAAATAAAAACCTAGAAATATTTTTTAAATTTTGTTTAAATTTATTTTTAGAGAAAGAGAGGAAAGGAGAGGGAGAGAAAGAAATATCAATGTAAGAGCAAAACATTGATGGGCTGTCTCCTTACTCCCTCTACTGGGGATCGAGTCTGAAACCTGGGCATGTGCCTTGACCAGGAATCTAATTGCAAACCTTTTGGTGCACTGGGTTATGCCCAACCAGCCACACCAGCAAGGGCAAAACCTAGCAAAATTTTTATTTTGAGTCATTTTAACTACATCATACTAAAATTCTTGTGGACCCATTCTAACTAGAACTTTTTAAAAACATGTTCTTCTGTTGGAAGCCAGGGTGACCATGATCTCTCTCTACGTTCCACACAATATGAAGCAACACAACCAAGATGGTAGAGTTGATGTTAGAGCTGGTTTTGAAAATAAGTCAAGTTCTCATAGGTAATAATGAAGCAGGAGAAATCTGATCTGTAGAGGATACAACTATCTGAAAATGTGGAGATGTACAGGTAGAACATGTTAAGAGTACTCAGAGGTTAGGAACAGAGACCTAACCTCGTGTCTGCCAGCTCAGGAAAGTCGGTGAAAATACAAGTCACATTTAACTTTTAGGAAAGGAGTATGATATCAAAATCAAGCTTTTAAAGGCAACAAGTAGTTTTAACTTGTAAAAACCTGGGAACCACTACCTTATGCAACAAGAGCACGTATCATTATGCAATTCGAGACACGTGCCCTTGGGTACAGGGTTTCTTCCATCCAGAACACGTGGAAGATCCCATATTTTAATTAATATACCTAATCAAAAGGTTTAACATAACCACCTCCATAGAGGTTTTTTTAAAAAATATATTTTATTGATTTTGAACAGACAGGAAGGGAGAGAGATAGAGAGTTAGAAACATCGATGAGAGAGAGTCATCGATCAGCTGCCTCTTGCACACCCCCTACTGGGGATATGCCCGCAACCAAGGTACATGCCCTTGACTGGAATTGAACCCGGGACCCTTCAGTCCCCAAGCCGACGCTCTATCCATTGAGCCAAACCGGTTTCGGCCAGAGAGGTATTTTGAAATTCACAGAAAATATTAGCTAAAGGCTAAGAACACTGTAATGTTTTTAATATACTTTGTAAAGACAGCTCTAATAAAAATCTCAACCAGTAATGTGTATGTGAAGAAATAAAAATACATTTTTATTTGCTATCAAGGATGGGAAATAAGCAATAGGCCAGCACTAAGTAGAAAGCTGCTTTATGTTTGTGATTCGAAATAACTGTGGGAGAAAAAAATGCACCCCCACACATACCAAAAGCAGATTGTGTTAACTTACCATTCTGAAGCAGACACCTGTATAAAAGAAAGATAAAAATAAAGTCAGCTTGTCTACTTTTTAAAAAATCATATATTTCCTAACTTAATTTTCATCTATTTTATTCAATAGTACATAAATGAAATGAACAAAATTTTAATGTCTGAATATATTCAAAATGTGTTGTAAATTTTTATTTTCTTGTAAAATAAAAAGGTAAAGGGAAGATGCTTTTGGGAAAAAATTAGTAACCTGAATATTTCATTTTATTTTAATATTTCATTCAAAGTATAATAAAATGCCAAACAGTATATTTAGTCTATTTTAAAATGCTAACTAAAATCAAATGCTTATTGCAAGGTCAGTTGAGTATATCTGACATCACATTTACCTGTCCTCAGCTCTTAGAATTTCTTCTTTAAAGACAAGGACTAAATCCAAGTTGAAATGTAATAAATTTTTCTGTTTTAATGTGAATACCACATTCTGGAAAAGGCAAACTACAGGGACAGGAAGCATCAGTTGCCAAGGTCTGGGAGGGGAGAGTGGAGCGCAAAGGGGCACCAGGGAACTCTGGGGGATGATGGCACCGCTCTGTATATCTCAACTGCGGTGGTTACATGACCGTCTGCATGTTTCAAACCCCATGAAACTGTTCACTAAAAAGGGTGAATGTTAGCCCAGCCTGTGTTGCCCAGTGGTTGAGCGCTGCCCTATGAACCAGGAGGTCACAGTTGTTTCCCAGTCAGGCCACATGCCTGGATTGAAGGCTCAATCCCCATTGTGGGGCATTATTGATGTTTCTAGCTCTCTCTCCTCTCCCTTCCTCTCTGAAATCAATAAAATTATTTTTTAAAAGAGGTGACTGTGGCCGGGACCGGTTTGGCTCAGTGGATAGAGCGTCGGCCTGCAGACTGAAAGGTCCCGGGTTTGATTCCAGGCAAGGGCATGTACCTTGGTTGTGGGCACATCCCCAGTAGTGGGTGTGCAAGAGGCAGCTAATCGATGGTTCTCTCTCATTGATGTTTCTAACTCTCTACCCCTCTCTTCCTCTCTGTGAAAAATCAATAAAATATATTTTTTTTTTTAAAAAAGAGGTGACTGTTACTGAATTTAAATTATATATCATTTGGGGGGAAAATTAGAAGAAAAAACTTGGGAAATCACAGGGAATTAATCAGGCAAAAGATATTGCTTCAATATACAGCAATCGAGCCTGGTTAAAAAAATACAGAAAGATTCAGTGGGTTAGGTAATTTTATGTAATTCTCTAAGTGGATTTATAATAAGGGATTTCATTTGTCTCCTGATGATTGTGTACTGTAGCACAAAAGAAGGTAAAGAAAAAGAATAGTAAAGCAATAAAGACAAGATAATCTCACAAATGGAGTTTTTGTAGGGCTATAAAAATATTTTATTTATTTATTTTTTTAATATATTTTATTGATTTTTCACAGAGAGGAAGAGAGAGGGATAGAGACAGTTAGAAACATCGATGAGAGAGAGTCATCGATCAGCTGCCTCTTGCACACCCCCCACTGGGGATATGCCCGCAGCCAAGGTACATGCCCCTGACCGGAATCGAACCCGGGACCTTTCAGTCCGCAGACCGACGCTCTACCACTGAGCCAAACCGGTTTTGGCAGTATTTTAAATGCTACATATAAAAGGTGGAGGAATTGATCTGAAAGGGAATCTGTTATATAGATGGAAGGAAAGACATTAGCTAGCAGATATCAAAGAAAGTGCAAAAAAAAAAAAAAAAAAAAACCCTCAAGAAAATTTTCAGACCATGTAGAAGAGAGACAAAACAGGAGAGAAAACAGCGCAGCTGGGCAAGTGTGCGGTCATTTACCCTAAGAGTGAGAAGATCCTAGGAGGCCCATGCAGAGTTGAAGGCTTGGTCACCACTGAACTGTGCAAATTCCCCTCTGAGTTCCTCAACAGTGATGCGCTGCCTGATGTTTAGCATCATGAAAAGTAAGCGCATGCAACTAATGTAAACAGAAATTGGAAACATCTGATTCAGCTCTTTCCTGCTCCAAGAGTGGTCCATGGACCAGCAGCACCTGAGAGTATTTTGCTTTCCTTTGTGTGTGTGTGTGTGTGTGTGTGTGTGTGACTTTTCAGAAAATTGAGATATAATTCATATAATATGAAATATCCCCTTTTAAAGTGTTCAACATATAATAAATCTACAGTGATATTTAGTAGATTCACAAAGTTTTGCAACCATCACCCAAAAAGGAGCCCCTCCCTAACACTTCCCTTTACCATTCATTCCCCATTCCCCATGTCCCCTTCCCTCTGGGACATTCAGGGTCACGGCCCCTGTGACTTCCTTGGCCTTTCCCTCTAGGCTTTGGGAGGGCTGCTAGAGTGCAAATCACAGTCACCCTACAGTCAGGAGTAGGGAGAGCACAAGGGGAAAAACCTTGGCTGGGAACGCTCCTGTCAGAGAGTGACCGGCTGGTGTTGGTCCTTCCCACCTCTCCCTGTGAGAGAGCAGCAGCCCTCCCCCAGTTTGGGACCATACCACTTCCCTGACCTCCTATCACTCCGCACCCAAGCCCCTGCAGTCCAGATCATCTTGCAGTGCTGCAACCAGCACTAAACAAGTTGTGCTCCCTCTCGACTTTATAACTTCTTTCTGGAAGAGAAAGCTTCTTTGCCCTCATGACAGTTCCTTCTTTGAGGAGGAATATCCATCACTGTGCCACCCTTGGCCACTCTCTACCCTCCTACCCTGTTTCTGATTCCTCCTCTGAGATGAGGAGTGACTAATCTAATGGGTAAATTTGGAAGTAGAACCGGGCACAGCCCAGGTGCTTCCTTTCCCACCTTCTCCCGGGAGTGAGTTACCCTCAGAGGTCATGCCTTCTGCTCTGCCCACAGGGAGGCCTGCCAGCGCCTGGTGGCTGTGTCTACTTTGGCAGTACAGATTACATCAAGGTGCACTTCCCTGAAGAAACACACCATATCCCCAAACCCTGCTTTATTGTTTTTTAAAAATATATTTTTATTGATTGCAGAGAGGAGGGGAGAGGGAGAAAGAGAGAGAAACATCGATGATGAGAGGATCATGGATCGGCTGCCTTCTGCATGCCTCCTACTAGGGATTGAGGCAGAAACCTGGGCATGTGCCCTGACTGGGAATGTAACCTGGACCTCCTGGTTCGTAGGTCTATGCTCACCCACTGGGCCTCACCAGCCGGGCTCTGCTTTAGTCTTGGTCTTAGTTGTCAATCAATAACTCATACAATCAAAGGAGGCGTTATTTATTCAGCCTCTCAACCACAACCCCTATTTTAAAGCCTTGGAAGGAATTCGCAGCAAGAGGTGTCAGGACCTCCAGCCCATTAACTTTGTGAGGCAATGAACTACGCAGGAATTAGCATTCAAAGCTCCATAATCCACTTGGAATTTTCCCAGAGTCTTCCCGAGAGCCCTGGTCCCTCGTTTGAAGCGCACGGTGCAGCAGAAGGAGGTACACAAAGGAAACAACAGGCGAACGTGGAGACGGGTTTTCTGCAGCCTACTGGCACGGGCTGGAGCTGAGCACTCAGGGACGCGGCCTGCGAGAGAGATGTTCCCACGGGCTTTTGTGGTCTCTCTGCACTGCTTCCACCTCCGCTGCTAAAGAGCAAGGAAGCTGATGTGACAGGTTTTTCACAGACACGCTGCTCTGGAAACTGGAACAGACCTCAGGCCCTTCTGTTATAAAAGACTCGAGCATGACATGCTGCTCAGCTGAGGCTCAATCAGCTGTAAGGGCACCTCACTCACGGAAAGATGTGTCCAAGAGAAACTCTGAGGTGAATACTGCAGAGGAAACACTATTTTAAATCTACAAAGAAATACTGGTATTCAAGAAATCATGTGATGTCAGCCTCCTTTCATGCAAAATCAAGTGCTCCTATTGTAATGCACCCCTTCGTGCTGGGATCTGACTGTGACAGTTTTGAATGCAGTCAGTCAGACAGTCACCACCTTACAAAGCAGCCCTTAGTGATTGTAAACACCTTAGTGGTTAGAAAGAGCCTTCTTTATATGGAATAAAATTCTGCCTCATTTCAACCTTTCTCCATCCATCCAGGGTCTGTCCCCTGGAGCCACACAGGGGCTTTCAGATAGCTAAGCTGGCCACCACTCTAAGGTGTTTTTTTTTCCTCAAGTCAACTCTCCCAAGCACTTTAATTTGAGACACTTCTGAAGTCCCCACCACAAGCACAGCCTGCAGGGGATATAAAAACAAGCCACCAGCTTGACCTTCAAAATACTGTCATTGTCTAAGGAGAGACACAGACATGAGTACATAAATAACTGCAGTGGAAAGCTAAATAAATGGACTAAAATAAAATCAAGAAGTAGTACAGAACTGTAAGTGAAACGCTATAGGAACAAAGATGAGAAAAGGAATTAGTGAGAAAAGGAATTAGCCACTCCTAAAACGAAGCTAGCACAGTCAAAAACACACGGGTGCATTTCGAAGGCACAGGGAAACCAACAGATGGCCACCATCCATGTACACAGGCGCCATGAGCATTCACCTGAGAGCTGGTACAACATCAAAGACCCCATGCACAGCTTAATCAATTTCCCTCTCAAACTTTCAGAATATGTTAGTCTAGATGTAACTGCAATGAAACAGAAGGAACTTTATAAACCATGCCGGTTAGAAACCCTCTAAAAACACAGGTGGTCAGCCCACCTTTCCTCATCTCAAAGCCCCCAACGCAACACAAGTTGGGGAGGAGGAACATGGAGCTCCCCAAAAATGTGGAGATTAAAGAGTAGAGGAAGGCCCTAAAGGTTTGGCTCAGTGGATAGAGCGTTGGCCTGTGGACTGAAGGTTCCCAGGTTCCATTCTTGTCAAGGGCATGTACCTTGGTTGCGGGCACATCCCCAGTAGGGGGTGTGCAGGAGGCAGCTGGTCTATGTTTCTAACTCTCTATCCCTCTCCCTTCCTCTCTGTAAAAAAATTAAATAAATAAAATAAAAAGTAGAGGATGGTGGGGGAGATAAGAGATCAACCTAAGGATTTGTATGCATGCATATAAGCATAACTTGTATGCATGCATATAAGCATAACTTGTATGCATGCATATAAGCAAAATTCTGGGAGGTGAGGGCATGTATGGGAGTGGGGGTGGCAATGGTAAGATCTGTACACACAAAATACCTTAATAAAAAAATGGGGGGGGGGTATGTAGAGGATGGCCCGGCCCATATACCCTCCCTCCCCACTCCCCGCTTCTCCAGCGCATGCGCCTCACCGCCCCCCGCCCCGCCCCTCCGGCTGCTGTGTCACGGCCCAGCGGAAGGCCGGCCCGGAGGGCTCCCCGCTCCCAGGCCTCTCCCCCGCCTCCCGCCGCGGGGGTCCCCTACCCTGCACTCTCCCGAACACCTCGTAGTCCACGGACTTGAGGGGCCCCCCGGTAGACATGGCGGCGAGCCCGCTGCGGAGGAGCCGGAGCGCGAGGAGCGGGGCTCGGGGCGCGGCCGCCGGCAGGAGGGGGCACATGGGGCCGCGCGCGCCCCGCGGGTCACGCGCAGGCGGCGGCGGAGGACGGAGGCCGAGAGCGCTGCGCCCGGTTCGCCCTCCCTCCCTCCCCCCCTCCCTTCCCCCTCTTTCCCCCCTCCCTCTCTCCCCCCCTCCCCCCGCCGGGACCGCCCGCCCGCGTCTGTAAATGGAGGCCGGCGCTGTGCGCCCGGAGGGGCGCTTTGGCAGGAAAGACCTGCTCCCTCCGGGGCGCAGCGTCTCCGGTTAGTGAGCGCCTGCCAAACCCGTGGGATTCTGAGCCAGTTCTTCAGAGCACGCCCGCATCCTCCCCACCGCCTCCGTGGAGTCAGGAAGGCTTTGGGCCTGGATCCATAGTCTACGTGAAATCTGGGCATTATTTTGGGACAAGACACTTTTTTAAAATCTAGATTCTTTCTTTTTAAATATATTTTATTGATTTTTTTTTTTTTTATAGAGAGGAAGGGAGAGCGCTAAAGAGTTAGAAACATCAATGAGAGAGAAACATGGACCAGCTGCTCTGCCCGCAACCAAGGTGCATGCCCTTGACCAGAATCGAACCCAGGACCTTTCAGTCCGCAGGGCTACGCTCTATCCACTGAGCCAAACCGGTTTTGGCTAAATTCTTTTGTTAGTGGAAACAGAAAAGAAAACGTCTCTCCTGTTCACTATCATAACATTTTTGTAGTTGTGATTATTGTTCAGCTAATCTCAATTGCCTAGGGGCTTAATCACAAACAGCCCGTAATTATTGGAATCGAGAGTCTAGGTTAAAGCAGTTTATGCTCAGGACGTTTTACTTCCTGGCAAGCTAATATGGAGTCTTAATTTAAAGCAGCCTATCTCTCCAAAGGATCTGGATATTGATCAGCTGCTGCCACGTAGAATTCCAAATCCTTTCGCTCGTGAGAATTTGCATTTCTCAACATATTTGTTGGCTCCCATACCTTTACATATGCCTCTGCATCTGGCCCTGGAGCTAAAATAATCCTCCGCAATCTGATTTCAATATTATGTGCCAGTGCCATTAAAGAACACCACAAATCATCTGAAACTTGTTTAGAATGTGCTTAAATCATTTTAAAGTAAAATATATTCTGAAAGTTCTAATTTAGAGAATTTTAAGTATATTGAGGTTCCTGGTTTATTACAGAGACCTCATAATTTGTCTCCCTCTCATCATCTCCCTTCCAGTTCATTCTTTTCAATATCATATCTTCAAAGTCTCTCTTCACTACATTCCAACAAAATCAAAGGCATCAGCCTTCACTAACCTCTGATTACCTGCTTACCCCCATCCTATAGGTTATAAATAACCTATAATCAAGACACTTTGAATTATTCTGCTCTCTGAACACAAACTGACCTTATTTTTTTAAAAAAAAAACTTACCCTCGGATCTACTTTATGTAAACTATCTCCTGACGCTCCCAAATCTTCCCCTATCCTGTTCGTGGCCTGTGCAAGTATTTATCAGATTTCATCCTAATTATTTAGTGTCTTTCCCACTAGTGCTGTGCCTTCCAAGAAGTAAGATCTCCAGCTGGAATGAGGTCCTGTCACTATCATTAATCCTGTCACTGACTGGAAAGGTTGACATTTTCCTTTTCATAATTAATCTTTGACTTCTCCCCACATTTACCCAAGAGTACCCCTGTCAATTATTATGTAGCTTTATTGTAATTTTAGTAGTTCTATAGCAACAATTGACATAGCTTAGCCAAAAAAAAAAAAAAAAAGTACTGTGCCTGCCAACAGCAGACAGAAATTTTTATGTACCATTTAAGCATGGAATGCCAACAATATGTGATTTGAATACTTTAGAAATTATAAGCAAATGTTACTAATGTTTAAGCTAATTTTAAATAACAGAAGAAAAATTTTATAACTCTAACACAACCTTTATCATTTTTAGTATTCTCTTCATATATTACATATGCATTATATATATATATATATATATATATATATATATTCATCTTTTCATTTCAGAAAGGGAGAAGGAGAGCGAGATAGAAGTTAAAAATATCAATGATGAATGAGAATCATAGATTGGCTGCCTTCTGCTCGCTCCCTAACAGGGATCCAGCCCACAACCCAGGTATGTGCCTAACAGGAATCAAACAATGACCTCCTGGTTCATAGGTTGATGCTCAACCACTGAGCACACCTGCTGGGCTCTTCATATATATTTTTAAGTAGTTAAAAATTATAGTATACATTTAATTTTTATTCTTTTTCCATGTTATAGTCTTTCAAATGAATAGTTTAGTAGTTTCATGATATTCTACTTTTACTGAATCTATTGGGGTGACATTGGTTAATAAAATTAAGTTTCAGACATACAATTATACATCACCTGTATATTGTACTCTGTGTTCACCACCCAAGTCAAGCCTCCATTTATCCCCCCTTTACCCTCTTTACCTTCCCCCGCCCTACCTTATGGTACTCTGAGTGAATATAACCATAAACTTCCCTACCAGGTCCCTATTGTTATACACTCAGGTTATTTCTAATTTTTCACTACCATAAAAAAGTACTGTGAAGGAAATATTCATACATTTATTCATTCATATTCATGTTGCTTCCTTCCCATATTATTCAATTATTTAGAAGTCAGAATAAAAACATCAAAGTTTATATGTATATATTGTTCTTGATATATATATGGCCAAATTGTTTTTTCAAAGGGCTGTGCTAATTTAATACCACTACCGGCACTAGGTGAGTATATGATTTTTAAAAATATTTTTATTGATTTTTTTAGATTGAGTGGAGAGAGAGACATTGATGTGAGAGCAAAAATCTATTAGCTGCCTCCTGCCGCACCCCCCAACCTCCTATGGTGAAATAGGTACAGACAATACAGTCTCTGTGTCTAAATCAGCGGTCACCAACCGGTGGTCCATGGACCACTGATGACCTGTGAGGTCCAAAAGATTGGTGACTGCTAATGACATGGGAACAGAGGAGGCATCACCAATAAATCTATAAATCATCACCACAAAGGGTTAGTTGGGAATGATTCCTAAAGTGATGTCTCAGAAATTTGATATTGAAGTATAATTCATTTCAAGGACAACCACAATTACTTTATCCATCAACCTATTTCTAGTCCTGAAATATTTTTGTAACCATTATGTGGAGAGAGCTGGACTCAACAGGATAAAAATTATTAAATTTCACAACTGAAGAGTCCTCAACAAACCAACTCGATGCTTCCTTCTTGGAAGAGATACTTTATAGTAAAGAAAAGGTTAGATAATTATTACTCAACTGGATCCAAGATCATTAGACATCAGGCTGTTAGCTGAGAAAGTAAGCTGGTTTCCCAGAAAAGGCTTTTATCTTATTATAATTTATCAGAAAATAGCTTAAGCATTTTTATCAGGGATGCATATTTCTTCCCAGAGGAGATTCTGTCCTGGGTTTGAACCACTTTTTCTTTATCAGAGTCCAAGTTAATATTAAAAACTCAGAAGTACATTTAACATTAAAGCTTCTTTCCTCCCCCAGCTTGATATTTTAAAATCCTGTTACATATTTCCAAAATAATGTTTCAAAATAAAATTTGAACACAGATTGACTATTAGAATTATCTTTAACTTTCTCATGTGATAATAGAATTATAGGTATATTTTTTAAAGGCCTTATCTGTTAGAGGCCTTAACTGAAATATATAAGGGTGCCATCACATATTTTGCTTTAAAGTCCTTGGGAGTTATCTGGATGGTTGGCTCAGTGGTTGAGCATCAGCCTCTGAACCAGGGGATCAGGGTTCAATTCCTGGTCAGTGCACATGCCCGGGTTGCAGGCTTGATTCCCAATGTGGGGTGTGCAGGAGGCAGCTGATCAATGATTCTCTCTCATCATTGATGTTTCTACTCTTTTTCCCTCTTCCTTCCTCTCTGAAATCAATAAAAATATAGTTTAAAAATATCAAAAATAAAATCCTTGGGAGTTGAGGACAGCACAGTTTAGATAGAATAAACATACTGAATTGGTGGTATTTATAATATTAAGCTGGGTCATGGGTACATTGGGATTCATTATACTATTTCTAATTTTGTACATGTTTGAAATTTTTATGTAAAGTTTTAAAATAAAATAAATAAATAAAAGTCCATTTTCATTCTATAAAATATGTGACCAGTAATCCTCAAAACTGTCATGGCTATGAAACAAAAAAAGAAAAAGAAAGCCTGCAAAACAACCCAGAATTGCCCTAGCAGTGGTCAGCAAACTCGTTAGTCAACAGAGCCAAATATCAACAGTACAACGAATGAAATTTCTTTTGAGAGCCAAATTTTTTAAACTTAAACTTCTTCTAACACCACTTCTTCAAAATAGACTCGCCCAGGCTGTGTATTTTGTAGAAGAGTCACACTCAAGGAGCTAAAGAGCCGAATGTAGCTCAAGAGCCGCAGTTTGCCGACCATTACCTTAAGGAGACAGGATAACTAAATGTAAGTGTATTCTGAATGGGATTCAGGAACGGAAAGAGGACTTCAGGTAAAAACCATGAAACTCTGAATAAAGTATGGATGTTAGTTAGGTATCAATACCAGTTCATCATAACAAATGTACCGTATTAATGTAAGATATTAATGATAGGGTGAACTTCCTAATCTTCATAATAATTTTGTAAATCTGAAACTATTCTCTCTCTCTCTCTCTCTCTCTCCCTCTCTCTCTCTCTCTCTCTCTCTCTCTCTCTCTCTCTCTCTCTCTCTCTCTCTCTCTCTCCCTCTCTCTCTCTCTCTCCAAAAATGTCTTTTTTTAATATTAGCACATATGATGGGTTCTGAAGTGGCAACTTCCTGGATGTGGCAGTTTTAAAACCAGCAGTTTCTCAGTTCAGCACTTTGCCTGATTGCAGAAGAATCCATAGCTTCCTTGATGGCCCAAGGAAGGGAGAGTCAATCCTGAAACATTAGCCTCAAAGTGTTCTTCACCCCAGTGCATATTAGACTATTGACTATGTACATGTACATGCCCAA